TTTTTCTTTTGCTGTTCTGATGATTGTTTTCTGCTACTTTATCTTCCAAATCACTGATTCAATATTTCAAGTACTCTACTGTTGATTCCCTGTAATTTGTTCTTTTATTTATTTTTAAACTGAATTTATTGGGGTGATATTGGTTAATAGAATTATACAGGTTCAGGCCCTGTAATTTATTCTTTATTTTTATGAGTATATCCTTCATTTCTGACTGGTTCTTTTTATGGTTATGTCTTGTTATGCTGTTAAAGTTTTCTTTTTTAAAAATATATTTTATTGATTATGCTACTACAGTTGTTCCACTTCTCCCCTTTATTCCACTTCACCCTGCACACTCCCTCCCACCCACATTTCCCCCCTAATTTAGTTCATGTCCATGGGCTGTACATATAAGTTCTTTGGCTTCTACTTTTCCTATAGTATTCTTACCCTCCCCCTATTTTCTACCTACTATTTATGCTACTTATTCCCTGTACCTTTTCCCTCTCTCTCCCCATCCCACTCCCCTGTTGTTAACCCTCCATGTGATCTTCATTTCTGTGATTCTGTTCCTGTTCTAGTTGTTTGCTTAGGTGGTTTTTTTTTGTTTGTTTGTTTGTTTGGTTGGTTGTTAATAGCTGTGATTTTGTTGTCATTTTAATGTTCATATTTCTGATCTTCTTTTTCTTAGATAAGTCCCTTTAACATTTCTTATAATTAAGGGCTGGGTGATGATGAACTCCTTTAACTTGACCTTATCTGGGAAACACTTGATCTGCCCGTCCATTCTAAATGAAAGCTTTGCTGGATAGAGTAATCTGGGATGTAGGTCCTTCCCTTTCATGATTTTGAATACTTCTTTCCAGTCCCTTCTTGCCTGCAAGATTTCTTTTGAGAAATCAGCTGATAGTATTATGGGAACTCCTTTGTAGGTAACTGTCTCCTTTTCTCTTGCTGCTTTTAAGATTCTCTCCTCATCTTTAATCTTGGCTAGTGCAATTATGATGTGCCTTGGAGTGTGCTTCCTTGGGTCCAACTTCTTTGGGACTCTCTGATCTTCCTGGACATCCTGAAAGTCTATTTTCTTTGCCAGATTGGGGAAGTTCTCCTTTATTATTTGTTCAAATAAGTTTTCAATTTGTTACGCTTCCTCTTCTTCTTCTGGCACCCCTATGATTCAGATGTTGGAACGTTTAAAGATATTCCGGAGGTTCCTAAGTCTCTCCTCATTTTTCTTAATTCTTGTTTCTTCATTCTGTTCTGTTTGAATGTTTACTTCTTACTCCTGCTCCAAATTGTTGAGTCCTGGTTTCCTTCCCATCACTGTTGGTTCTCTGTAGATTTTTCTTTATTTTACATAATGTGACCTTCATTGCTGCCTGGGTCTTTTTTATGCTGTCGAAGTACCCAGTGAGTTCCTGGAGCATCCTGATAACGAGTGTTTTGAACTGTGCGTCTGATAGGTTGGCTATCTCTTCGTTGCTTAGGTTGTATTTTTTCTGGAGCTTTGAACTGTTCTTTCATTTGGGTCAGTTTTGTTTTTTTTTTTCTTAGAGCACCTGCTACATAGTTTGGGGCAGAGCCTTAGGTGTTCACTGGGGCAGGGCAACTCATGTTGCTACATTGTGACACTGTATGTGGGGGTGGGGTCTGAGAGGGTACAATGGCGCTTGCTCTACTCTCTGATGGTTTTCAGTTACTTCCCCACTTCCGACAAGCAAATTGGGCCCTTCTGGTGCTGATTCCCAGATGGATGGGTTTGTGTACATTCTAGGACCCTGTGGGTCTCTTTAATGAACTCTCCTGTGAGGCTGGGAGTTTCTCCCGGCACTTCAACCCCCACAGGTGTTTTCAGTCAGAGGTTTGAGGCTCTATTTCCCAACACTGGGACCCTGGGTTGCAGGGTCTGTCTTGCTCCTCAGTTGTTCCTCCTGGTTTATCTGCACTTGAATTTGGGACTGCCCAATCCACAAGCCGCTGCTTTGCTGCCAGTCCTCTTTGCCCGGCTGCCCATCTTGGCCCCTCCTACCAGTTTGGATGAGTGTGTCTTCTTTAACTCCTTGGTTGTTGTACTTCCATACAGTTCGATTTTCTGTCAGTTCTGGTTGTTTTTTGTTTTTAAATTTGTTGTTGTCCTTGTTTTGGTTGTGTGAGGAGGCACAGTGTGTCTACCTGTGCCTCCTCCATCTTGGCTGGAAGTTGCTATTGAAGTTTTCAGTAAATTCCTGGAACATCCTTGTAAATAGTTTTTTAAAAAGATTTTATTTATTTATTGTCAGAGGGGGAGGAAGGGAGAAAAACATTGATTGGTTACCTCTCACACACTCCCAACTGGGGACCTGGCCCACAACCCAGCCATGTGCCCTGACCAAGAATTGAACTGACAACTTTTTGTTTTCCAAGCTGGTACTCAATCCATGATGCCATACCAGCCAGGATGTAAACATTGTTTTAAACTGTTTCTGATAGTTTGCTTGTCTCTATTTCATTAGTTTTTTTTTTTTTACATTTTGGTAAATTATATTTTTATGGAAAGTCATACATTTATCTAGATTTACAAAATTATGGACATAAACTTGTACATATCCCCTTATATTGGATTTATAGTTTTAATCTTTTTCATTTCTTTTATTTTTAACAATTTTTTTTTTAGATTTTATTTATTTTTGGAGAGGGAAGGGAGGAAGAAAGAGAGAAACATCAATGTGTGGTTGCTGGGGGCTGTGGCCTGCAACCCAGGCATGTACCCTGACTGGGAATTGAACCTGTGATGCTTTGTTTTGCAGCCCGCACTCAATCCACTGAACTATGCCAGCCAGGGCTTCATTTAGTTCTTATTCTGGAGAGTCCTCCTGTTCTTTTGTTTGGAAGCTATTTCTAGTTTTAGTTTTCTCATTTTGGCTGCTTCCCTGTGTACATGTCTATGTATTAGGTAGAATTGCTCATCTCCCTGACTTATGTGGTGGCTTCATGTAGTAGAGGTCTGCTAGTGCTCAGTGGCATAGCCTCCTTGGTCACCTGAGTGGGTGCTCCAGGTACATCCCCTGTATGGGCTGTGTGCGCTGTCCTATTATAGTTGGGTCTTGATTGTTGCTGGCACATACTAGGAAGGGTTGATGGCAGGCCAATAGGCTGCAAAGACCGGCTGAGTGTAGCAGAGGAATTGCTGTGCAGAGACCAACCCCACTGAGCAGGTCTCACTACAGTAGGGCCTTTGGGGCTTGCAGTGTATATCTTGAATGTATCACTTGCACAGGTGCTTGGACTGTAATCCAGTATAGTCTGAAGCTGTCCACTGGGTATCATGGCTCTGGGGCCTTCTCTTAGGTGCAAGGTCAGCCACTGACTGTGCCCTGTCCAGGTCCCCCTGGCATGAAGCTATAGTGCAATCTGCAGATGGCTGCTACATGTGCTGGTCTTAGAGAGACGCAGGAGAGGCCAAGTTGGAAACTGAGGCTGGCTGCTGCTAGTGCTGGGCCCAGGGCCACTTGGCAAGAGGTATGGGGTATGCTGAGGCTACTAGATGCTGCTAATTTGAGAGATTTTAGGAAAATGTGAAGCCTGAGGGAGGAGAGGTGATTTCCATGGAAAAGCCACCGGAAATAGCTTGGATGGGCCACCAAATTAGGTGGGGTGGGGGTCTCATGGAAACACCAGGGTGGGGCAAAAAGCATTAGCCAGGTTGATGAAGACTCAGATATGGCACCTGAGTAGTGGTTCTGTGGGGAGAGGATTTTGTAACTGAACAGTGGCCTGCACCAGCACTTCTTTCTGAGAGAGAGTTGTCTCTCCAGCTCTCATCCTGAAGCCAGACAATTTAGTTCCTCCCCCTCTGCCCAGTGATAGAGCTCAGGGTGAGTGAATCCAGGAAGTCTGAGTGTGGGCCCTTTAAGAGGGACTCCTGGGACTACAGCAGCCACCATCTCAATCAGTCATAATCCCCGCTGGTTTTCAAATCTGGAAGTTATGGGGACATCTCTTTCCAGCACTAAAACCCTGGGCTGGGGGGTTTTGATGTGGATCCAGGACCTGTCGCTTCTCAGGGAGGATGTCTGCAGCCGAGATAGCCTTCCCAATCTTTATTTGCATGCACATGCGTGATCAGGCAGTTCAGTGTCCTGCCTCTCCTGCCAGTCACAATGTAGCTTCTTCTGTATACCCTTAGTCATAGAACTTCTTTTCAGCTAGATCCCAGGCATTCTGGATGATGGCTGTTTTGTAATTTAGTTGTAATTTTGATGTGGCTGTGGGAGTTTCCAAGTACCATGTTTACCTATGCTACCGTCTTGACTGGAACCCCCATAGTAACTTTCCAATTAAAGCATTATAAAATCCAAGTTATAAATGGTAGTTGCCTACCACTTAATAGGTACCTACTATGTGTGAGACATTTTACATATACTATGTGATTTAATTCTCAAGAAATCCCTGAGAGTTTGGCATTATTGTTACTCTGAGAAAAGGTGAACTTAGAGAAGGAAATAGGAAGGGTAAGAGACCCTTAGACAGACAGCGAGTAAGTGGTAAACTTGGGACACACACTTCTGACTATTACACCAACACCCTGGGTGTGGTCAGAGAATTAATCTCCAGTGAAACTGATTTGAGTCATTATTTTCTCAACTCTCCCAAAGATGGTACACAGCTAGTCCTGCTCTATATGCATTAAGGATAAGTTAATAGTTACACACAATGCGTTCTGTAGGGGTTTATTACTTAATTCTCTCAGGAACCTGTATGAAGAGGCTGTACCGACAAAACTGCCAGATTCTGGGGGAGTTTCAGAAAGGCCACAGAGACCACTGACAAAGTGTAAATAAGACGTGACTGGTAAGTGTTTGGGAGGGAGAAGTTAAGCTGTGAATGTCATGCTCCTGAACTGAATAAAGTCTGGAAAATAGCATTACTGGAAATTTCTGTAAAATTTAGTCCGTTTACATACCCAAGAAGAAGAATACCAGAGAAATTCAATTTGGCCAATCTGAAGACTCTTTCCTCTCATAAATCTAACACAACACTTTAAGAAAGAAACTTAATTTAATTATAGGGAAAAGATTCATGGTTAATGAAAATGTGAAAACCACATACAATAAACTGACATTAATTTCAGGAACAAGAGGATGTCTCATTCCCATTATAGTCACGTTAGAAGGAAATGATTCCAGCGAGGGGTGGGAGCCAACTGCAGTCCTGTCCAGCCCCGTGAGCTCCTTGTGTGTGCTGTGGGACTTCCTGTCTGACGGGTCTCTTAAAGGGAATTCCCCTGCTCTTCCACCTATGTTGTGACTTCGGCTTAGAGGTAGGCACAGAGCCGCTCCAGCTGCCCGGGATTCGCATTACTTAAGAACAGCAGTTCCTTTTTCCCTTCTTCTGTGTGAGCTAAAATGGAATAAAACAGATAATTGACAGTTTTCTCCTGCAGCATTATGTTACCCAGAAAATTCTGTGGTCAGAGGCTCTGGTATCCATATCAGTGCCCCTTTTCTGTCTCTATTCTTCCAGTCTAGCATCTATCTCTCCCGCTGCTCTCGGAATATCTTCTGGACTTGAGGACTCTGTCAGATCTCCCAACCCCTCAGAAATCTCTCCATGATGTTTCCCAAACCACTACTGCTGCAGCTGCTTTCTATTTTTTCCTTTATTCAATAAACTATTCCAAGTACAGCTAATTCTCCAGTAATAGAGTGGCCTTTACTTTTCTTTCATTCTACCCCTCCCCATTTCCAAGCCAAGGACAAGGATAAAAAGAACAGCTGGAATTCTGTCAGGTACACAGACTAGGGTTTGGTTTGCTGTGGAGGTGGCCTCTCACACACTATCAGTTATTCTGTGGGTGCCCTAGCATATTAGTCAATTGAAGTTTGTTGAATGATAAATAAATGCAACAATGAACAAAAAAGATTAAAGCAGAAAAGGGAAGGAAGGAAGGAAGGAAGGGAGGGAGGAAGGAAGGGAGGAAGGGAAAGAAAGAGAGGGAGAGAGAGAGAAAGAAAGAGAAAGAGAGAGAGAAAGAAAGAAAAAAAAAGAAAAGAAAAGAAAAGAAAAGAAAGGAAAAGAAAAGAAAAAGAAACGAACAAACAATGAGAGTGTGGCAGCCACCCACACTCAGTGAAGGCACTTGGTCTGGCCTCCTGCAGCACGAGCATCTTCTTTAGGGCGCTCTTTTAGGACTCTCCCCCCAGCAGCCCACCTCTCTGAACCACCCAACCAGCAGAAAGAAGTCAAGATAGCAGAAGAAAGATGAAATACAACTTACAGGCTGCTGCTGAGGGAAGGAGAGATCAAGGCTCTGGCTCAGCGGGACTCTTCCTAAGACCATAAAGCCCTTATATGAGAAAATTTAACTGACCTTTCTCATGTTGGAGCCAACTGTTTTCCAAATAATACTGAATACAACTTTCAAATTCTTTTGGATTATAGTTGGAAACCAGGATAGGAATAAAAGGGTCAAGGGCATCAAATCCTTCCTGTAGAAGAAAAAGGATAAAGACATATTGATTGTTAAGTGACAGATGAGCAGGAAAAAAAAGGGGGGGGGCGGTGACACATCAGCAGAGAGATCCATTTTATTTAAGCATTTTAACGGCAAGGCCTGTGTTTTTCTTCCTGCTCTCCTCCTCCCTCTCGGGCCACCCTGCTTTACATGGGGCTCCGCACAGAGCGGTGGCTCCTGCTGCTCTACACGGCCCAGGTGTTGTATTTCACAAGAATACTTGAGGGCGATTGCACTTGTTTGGATACACACACACACACACACACACACATACATAAACATATACATATTTTAATTTTTCAAAACATATACATATTTTAATTTACAAATTGTATTATGTATTATGTAATAATGCAATTTATGTAAATTTGTATTATACAAATTTACATATGTATTATGTATTAAACAAAATACATATTTTTCATAGTTCTGAATTCAACAGTTGACAATAGTTTTCACAGTTCATATATTCAAAGCAAAAAATAAACAAAACAAGGATGTGGAAAAGAGGAAAAGACTCCATATGGAACATAAATAGAAACAAATGAATCAATCAAACTGTACAGTAGTACCCCTTACCCACTGGGGATACATTCCAGGACCCCCAGTGGGCTCCTAACCTGCAGATTACTAAATCCTATATATACTATGTCCCCCCCCCCCCACACACACACCTTTTCTCTCAAAGGAAGCACTTTACAGCTTCTCTTTGGCATTCCTGAACTGCCAGCATCACTACTCTTATGCTTTAGGGCTATTATGAAGTGAAGCAAGGGTTACCTGAACACAAGCACTGCGACCCTGCAAAGGCGGGTAGTAACCATGACTGCTAAGCGACTCATGGGCAGGGAGCATGTACAGCATGGGCACTCTAGACAAAGAGACGACTCATGTCCTGGGCAGAACGGGGCATGAGGTTTTATCACATTACTCGGAAGAGTGTCCAGTTTAAAAATTATGAGTTATTTATTTCTGCAATTTTTAATTTAATATTTTCAGAACACAGTTGGCTGCAGGTAAACAACATTGTGGAAAATGAAACCAGGTGTAAAGGGGGACTACTGTATCTCAAATTTCAAACTAGAACACTGAAGGGATAAGGGAAACTAACCTAAGTTAACTTCTTTTTTTAAATTGTATTTTATTTCGATATTGAATATTATTTTGTATTAGTTTAGGTGTATACCAAGTTAACTTCTAAACAGAATATTGGTTTAGGTTAAAGACAAAAAGTACTTAAACAAATATTGTGCTCCAGTTCATAGCTACTTTTTGTATAGTCAAAGGTTAGTAATTCTTAAACTTTTACTGTAACTTAAGACTAAGCTAACAATTAAATATTCTACGGATAATAACAGCAGATTTCTTTTATTAAAACATTTTTAAAATATTTTATTTTTAGAGAGGGGGGAAGGTAGGGAGAAAGAAAGGGAGAGAAACATCCACTGATTGCCTCCTGCATGCCCCTCACTGGGAACCTGGCCCACAACCCAGGCATGTGCCCTGACTGGGAACTGAATCGGCGACATCTCTGTCTGCAGGCTGGTGATTCTCCACTGAGCTGCACCAGCCCAGGCCAATAGCAGATTTCTTATTGTTCAAGATGAGGGTTATAATATAGAAAAGGGGAAGGATACTTATTGTGAATGCTGTGATGCTCGCCTGGAATTGGAACTATCAGTATGAACTCATGGTTTATTTATTTTATTTTTTGTGGGCTTTTTTCATTTTATTATTTTTTCTTTTTTCCTTTTTTTTTTTACAACAGAGAAACAGATATACATGTATGGGTGCGTACATGTAAGCACATATATGCATACAGTCCATATACGCCCAAATATTACACAGCCCCATTTACCAACTCTGCTGGAGGGCCCAGAACTGACACTCCAGTAACATTAAGCACGCCCAGCACCCTTGATTGCTAAATACCATTCTCCTGTAAAATGAATCAAGAGTCCTTGGAGAAATGGCTGATTTTAAAACTAGGGCATGGAGAGTACAGACAAGCCTGAAACACATTCTTCTTCCAAAAAGAAGTAGAGAAAGAATGATGGGTACATGTGAAAAGGCCATAGAAGCCCTGACCAGGTGGCTCAGTTGGTTGGAATGTCATCCCATGAACCAAAATGTTGTGGGACTTGATTCCTGGTCAGGGCACATACTTAGGCTGCAGGTTCAATCCCTGGTCAGGGTGTACAGGAGGCAAAAGCCAGCTTGAAAGGGCTCCTACAGGCCGAATCTGGGATAATCTAAGCACCAAAATAAAAAATGATAGTAAAGGTTAAGTGTCCACACGCACTGAAACAAATAAATACATAAGGGAGAAAGGAAAGTTCTTACACATGATAGAAAGCCAACTGATAGATTTAGAAGACATGATGGAACTAGAAAATTTCTATTTTGTAATTTTTAATTTTTTTTGTTATTTGTACATTCTTTTTTTTACTTTTCTTTTTTTAAATATATTTTATTGATTATGCTATTACAGTTGTCCCATTTCCCCCCTTCACTCCCCTCCACCCTGTACACCCTCTCCCACCCACATCCCCCCTTTAGTTCATGTCCATGTGTAGTACTTATAAGTTCTTTAGCTTCTACATTTCTCATACTATTCTTACCCTCCCCCTACCTATTTTCAACCTACAATCTATTCTACTTATTCTCTGTACCTTTTCCCCCTCTCTCCTCCTCCCACTCCCCTGTTTATTTTGTAATTATTATAGTAACTGATTCAGGGAAGAATCATCAATGTATACTAAAACTAGTAAGGAGAAATTTGAGAAGTAACAGGACATTAACCTAGTCTCAAAGTATATCTCCACAAGGTATTTATTCATTATAAAAGTAAAAGTAACTTTAATGAGGAGAAACCAGGTAGATAATCTTAACCAAGTGTTCCAAGTTAACACTGCCACTAGTAGGAGAAAGAGGTTTCATGTGCGTCCTAATATTATGCACTAAGAACACACATCACTCCTAAAATCACATATAATCAGGAGAAAACATCAGACACTCTCATAAAACAACCCGTAAGATAACTGGCACAAGTTCTTCAAAAACAGAAATATAAATAGAAAGATAAATATTAATATTATAAAAGAGACTCAGGGACTGTGGCAGTAAAGGAGACTAAAGAGAGATGACGATTAAGTGCTACACGCTGTCCAGGACTTTTTTCTGTAAAGAATATACTGGCGCCCTGACTGGTGTGGCTCAGTGGGGTGGGTGCCGTCCCCACAAACCGAAAGGTCACTGCTTTCATTCCCAGTCAGGGCACATGGCTGGGCTGCCAGCCAGGTCCTCGGTTGGTTTCTCTTACACATCGATGTTTCTCCCCCCCTCCCCCCCCGTCCCTTCCCCTCTCTCTAAAAATAAATAAATAAAATCCTAAAAAAAAAAAAAAAGAAAGAAAAAGAATATACTGGCAAAATCAGAGTAAGTTCTATGGATTAGTTAACAGTATTATATCGATATCAATGTCCTAATCTGGATAATTGTGCTGTGGTTATACACAGGATATCTCTGATTTTAGGCAGTCGCATGATTTAGAGATAAGGAGGCAGCATGTCTCAGGTTACTGTTACATATTCGAAAAAAACAAATAGAGAAGAATAAAGCAAATATGGTAAAGTTAACATTTTAGGAATTTGGGTGAATTTATACAGGAATATAATTTTTCTCCAAGTCTGAAATTATGTCAAAAAAAAAAAAAGAAAAAAGAAAAGTCTTTAGAAAGAATGACTATCTGAGGGAAAACAAATTCGCCAGCGATCTGACCTTTCCTAGCAGCTCCTGGGGCAGACAGGCTCTCCGGGGCTTAAAAAGGGACCCAGTCTGGCTCAGAGTCAGCACGATGGCACCTCCACGCTGAAAGGAAGGAGAAAAAGCTGAATTAGATAAAGGTAAAAAAGATAGAGGGTATAAAAACACTTTGAACAATTGCAAGCAAAGTAATCACACCAACATTTAAGTAAAATGATTTTGAATAAGGTTGTTTCAGTCAAGTGGAAAGATGAGAAACCAAATATGTAGATTTTAAACTTGGTACAGTTATGGGAATCAAACAAAATAAAAGAACTTTTTGTCCATAAAACTAGTGACCGGAAGGTACTAGCAATGAGGTAGTTGTAGATCTTTAAAATAAAAATACATTTCGTTCTGACATGTGTTAGGTATCATATGCACTCACCCAATCATTTTTCACCATTTTCCTCAAGTTGTAAATAAGCGCTAGTTCCTCTGGAGCGATCTGCTCGTTGGTCAATATTTGAGGGGGGAGAGAGGTGATGGGAGCAGACAAGAGAGGCCATTACTTGCTTTGCCTGGATGCTTCCCTGAGTCAACTGAATTGACAACTAAAAATCCTCAACGACTGCGTAACCACAGGACCTGAAGGTGTAGCCTCTGAGATAAGCCACATAGCTGCTGGCCCTGAAACTGCTGTGCTTGTGGAGGTTAAAAACAGTCTCCAAGGGAGAAAACACTCACTGGCCCAAACCAGTCCCTCCCTTGATGCTTCTGATCTGCCTTGCTTAGACCACAGTCTCATTTTTAAAAGAGACTAGAAAGAAAAAACTGACAAAGGAAGAAAAAAATAGCTTTTGCTGTCACACTGTTTTCAAAATAATCTTAGTTTTCAGTGGGTAATGGAACTTGGTAAGACCTCCTTTTAATGCTATTTTCACTATACATCTTAATTCATATAATCCTAGAGTAAGAAAACATATCGCATGTTTATTATGCCCCATCCTACGTGTCTGATGGCAACAGAAATCAGTGAAACCAGAACAGAGAAACTCAGTTTTCCTACTGGGCTTTTATCTTCTCTTTTCAGTGTGGTCCTTCCCCAGAGAGCATTGACTCCATCCACTGCCACCAGGAGGTGAAAGATGCCCAAAGAGCTTTGCCTCTTTAGCTCTTTGAGCACAATCCCAACGGCATCTGTGGCGTTCCGCACCCGCGTTATGCCCTGTAGCAAAGGGAGACAGTGGCTTACAGTGCTGTCTGTGAGAGGCCTCCCTGGTTTTGGCACAGCACACAGGGTTTTTATACCTGCTCGACTACTTCTCCCAGAAGGCTGCCTTTCTCAACGCTTTCTCGTTTATTCCAGACATACTTCTCTTGAATTTTTATCTAAAAACAAACAAAATAAAAACAAAAGTGGCTACTCAGCTGAAGGATGAACTGATCCCTAGCTGAGAAGGTAGGAGGCTAAGGTTGTTAGGAATCGGTTTAAATCTATTTCCAAACCTATACGAGATTTCAATATGGAAGTGAATGCTATCTAGTCTATTTCTCCCTGAAGCTTAAAAATACACCCCCACACACGATCTTTTTTTTTTCAGATTTTATTTCCTTACTCTTTTTTTTTTTAAGATTTCATTAATTTATTTTTAGAGAGGGAAGGGAGCAAGAAAGAGAGAGAGCACGAGTGAGAAACATCAATGTGCAGTTGCTGGGGGCCGTGGCCTGCAACCCAGGCATGTGCCCTGACTGGGAATCGAACCAGTGACATTTAGCTTTGTGGATGATGCACAACCAAGCCACGTGATCAGGGCCATACATATGATTCTGACTAGAAAGGTCCAGGATAAGCCCTTGGCATCTAGATTTTTAATAAGCTCCTAGAAGAGTCTGAATATCTACAGCTGAAAAACCCTGGCCTAGAGATCATATTTAAGAATTACCAGAGTGAAGAGTAATTTTACCAATACAATTCTGGTTCCAAAAAGGATCTTCTTATCTGGAGAAAATGATGTAGTTGAAAATGTGCTTTAGAAGAGTTGAGATTGCGACCTTGGGGAAGTTAATGAATTAATATGGATTTCAACATGCTACGCACAAGATGGGAGCAGCCTAGCGCTGCCTCTACTTCACATGGATAGATAAGTTTCAGATTGTGAACTCACTGTGAGTAAAATATATGACAGAAATAGAAAATGGTATAGTTATCTCAACCATGATACTAGTTTTCCACTGTCTACTGGTACTCGGGGCACAAAGATCTATTTAAAAAATGTCCAGCACTAAAGTTCTAGGAGTCTAGTTACCTGACTCAAGAAACGTTCATTTGCAGTTTTGAAATTCTTCAGCCAGACTGAAGCCTCTAAAGGTTGATCAAAGCGTTGTTTGTTGTAGGTGGACTGCAAAAGATCCTGACAGTTCTTCACCCAAAGATGACCTAAAAAAAGGGGCACAGAAGACAAACTAGGCAGGAACTGACTGTATTTAACTCAAAAGACTCTATGATTTATTTCTTAAGTCATGGGAATAACTAGTCTCTTAATATATTTCTTATAGCCTTCTTGTTTCCAAGGTTTATTTTTGTCTGGTATTCTCTTCTCTATTATATTTTATTCTATTTTCCTCACCTGATGACATTTTCATTTGCTTTTTTAGAGAAAGAGCGGAAGGGAGAGAAATATCTATGCAAGAGAAGCAATCGACTGGGTTACCTTTGTATGCCCTGGGACTGGGGATTGTACTAGGCATGTGCCCTGACTGGAAATAGAACCCACGACCCTTCGGTTATGGGATGACGCTCTCACCACTGAGACACACTGGCCAGGGCAGCTCCATTTTAGATTAAACATTATCATTTTAACCAACACACAAGAAATACCAAGTATATTAAAGTTAAAGGTCACCTCAGCTTCCTGGCAGATTATAAAGATAGTCATAAAATGTGGATGCACACACACAACTAGGAGCGTTATGTACAGTAGGAGAGTTTAAGTTCTTAAACTCTAGAATGCTGATAATCGTACCATGTTAAAGGCTCTCTGCATACTCAAAATTGTTGGCTGATGCCAATAAAGCTTGTGATGACCTCCAAGGTGGGAGGTTATGCTTGTGGGCATTATGCATCAAAATGAGGACAGCTGGGCCAAAATACTTTGTTCTTATTATCAAGAGGCTCCAGGAAGCTTTTAGTTGAATTTCTTAATGCATTTGCTTCACCTTGCAACCAGCTTGTCAGTAACACAAAGAAATTATGATGAACTAATTTAGAACACTCTACATCTGAAACAAAGGCCTCTCCTGGAGACGTCAGAGCCTTGTCAGAAAATTAAAGCCACAGTGCTACCACAGTAACTGGACAACTGACCCCGGCACAGTGAAGACAGGAAGTTCTTACCATCTGGAATATGCAGTATCAGCCAGTCTTGTTTTGCACAGAAATGAATAATATGGCAAAGACTAAGGGTTTTTCCTGTTCCCTTCTCCCCATCTAAATAAAGCATTTGTTGTTAAAGAAAACATTATGAGAAGGGGCACTTCAACTGTTGACAAGGAGTACTCTTAGATTTCTTTTTTTCTCTCATCTGAGGAAGGAAAGCACTGGCCCAAGACGCTCCACACAGGCAGGCAAGGATACAGAGAACGTATCGTACAGCTGGGTGATCAAAATTGGTGTTTTTCAGGTGATGCAAAAGCTCTAGGGCTGGTTTCCTGACCATCAGGCAAGCTTCATTGAATGTCTTCATCTAACAAAACAGAAGAGGAAGGACAGTGGGTGTGGAACTTCTAGCCAGTTCTTAGTATACACACTGAGCCTAATAGAGCAAAAAATTGCATATTTTTTATTTATGCACTTAGGGGATGTGGTATTGGTTTTGAATTTCAAAATATATCCATATAATTTAGCTAAAAACTGAAACACATTATCTTATACCAAGTAACATTAAGAGTCAGCTTTTGATTATAACTGTTAATGAAGCACAGATTTTACATCAGTTAATTGAAATCTACAAATAGTACAGAAATCTCACAACATAATTTTGTATACCACTTAGGGTTGATGTAAATGTTAAAAGTATATAAAATGCGTAACATTGTACTTGACAAATGGTAAGTGAGGAATAAATGTTAATTCCTTTAAATTTATTTTTAGCTAATTCTTATTTCTCTAACCATCTAGACTTTTCTCTAGAATTACGCAGACAAATCAGAAAACTGATAGATAAAATTAATTTCTTTTCGCCATCAGGAATAATCTGGTAGAAAAATTTGGGAAGCACTGATATGTGTGAAAGTGACTTAAGAATGTCTATTGAAAAGAAACCTAACAAATACTATTTGCTAGTATATTAAATAAGGATTAAAGTAGTGTTGGTATTTTTAAAAAAGAAATCCTAAGCAAACAAGTAGATTGGAGAAGGATTTGATAAGAACTTTAAAAATATATATATATTTTATTGATTATACTATTACAGTTGTACCATTACCCCTGCTTCATTCCCTTCCACCCTGCACACCCTCTCCCACCCATATTCCCCACCTTTAGTTCCTGTCCATGTGTCATAAATTCTTTAGCTTCTACATTTCTCATACTATTCTTGCCCTCCCCCTGTCTATTTTCTACCTACAATCTATGCTACTTATTCTCCATACCTTTTCCCCCTCTCTCCTCCTCCCACTCCCCTGTTGCTAACCCTCCATGTGATCTCCATTTCTGTGGGTCTGTTCCTGTTCTAGTTGTTTGCTTAGTTTGTTTTTGTTTTAGGTGTGGTTGTTAGTAACTGTGAGTTTGCTGTCATTTTATTATACATGTTTTTTTATCTTCTTTTTCTTAGATAAGTCCCTTTAACATTTCATAAAATAAGGGCTTGGTGATGATGAACTCCTTGAACTTGACCTTATCTGAGAAGCATTTTATCTGCCCTTCCATTCTAAATGAAAGCTTTGCTGGATAGAGTCATCTTGGATGTAGGTCCTTGCCTTTCATGACTTGGAATACTTCTTTCCAGCCCCTTCTTGCCTGCAAGGTCTCCTTTGAGAAATCAGCTGACAGTCTGATGGGAACTCCTTTGTAGGTAACCGTCTCCTTATCTCTTGCTGCTTCAAGGATTCTCTCCTTCATTTTTACCTTGGCTAATGTAATTGTGATGTGCTTTGGTGTGTTCCTCCTTGGATCCAACTTCTTTGGGACTCTCTGAGCTTCCTGGACTTCCTGGAAGTCTATCTCGTTTGCCAGACTGGGGAAGTTTTCCTTTATTATTTGTTCAAATAACTTTTCCACTTATTGGTCTTCCTCTTCCCCTTCTGGTACCCCTATAATTTGGATGTTGGAATGTTTAAAGATGTCCTGGAGGTTCCTAAGCCTCTCCTCGTTTGTTTGAATTCTTGTTTCTTCATTCTTTTCTGTTTGGTTGTTTCTTTCTTCCTTCTGGTCCACTCCATTGATCTGAGTCCCAGTTTCCTTCTCAGCACTATTGGTTCCCTGTGCATTTTCCTTCATTTCACTTAGCGTAGCTTTCATTTTTTCATCTAATTTGCGACCAAATTCAACCAATTCTGTGAGCATCCTGATCACCAGTGCTTTGAACTGTGCACTCGATAGGCTGGCTATCTCTTTGTTGTTCAATTGTATTTGCTCTGGAGCTTTGATCTGTTCTTCCGTTTGGGTCATTTTATTTTTTGTCTTGACACGCCTGTTACGTATGAGGGGCAGAGCCTTAGGTGTTCACCAGGGTAGAGCAACCTAGTCACTGAATTGTGACACTGTATGTGGGGGTGGGGTCCGAGAGGGAACAATGGCACTTGCTCCTTTCTCTGTTGGACTTCAGTCCCTTCCACTCCTTCCCCCGAGCAAACTGGGCCTTTCTGGTGCTAATTCCCATGTGAATGGGCTTGTGCACCTTCTAGGACCTTGTGGGTCTCTCCAACGCACTCTCCTGTGAGGCTGGGAGCCTCTCCTGCTCCTTAACCCCACAAGTGTTTTCAATCAATGCCCCGAGGCTCTATTTCCCGGCACTGGGACCCTGGGTTTTGTGCACAGCCTTGCTTCACAATCGTCATCTTGCCTGGTCTGCTGGTTGCCACCCTGAGCCTGGGGTTGCCAGCCACCGCCTGTGTGCCCAGGGTCCGCCTGCTGTGGTCTTGCATGCTGGGGATGACTTGCATACTCGGGATGCCTTATGCGCCCAGTCCCCCACTCTTTGTGCTGCGACCCCTCTCTGCCTGGCTGCCCAACTCTGCCCCTCCTACCGGTCCGGATGAAAGTGTCTATTTTAACTCCTTGGTTGTCCGACTTCCATACAGTTTGATTTCCTGTCAGTTCTGGTTGTTATTCTGTTTTTAAATTGTTGTTGTCCCTATCTTGGTTGTGGGAGGAGGTACAGTATGTCTACCTATGCCTCCATCTTGGCCGAAGTCTAGTAAGTACAAGCTTAATGAAAAGTGAAACCTTAAAGAACTTGATATAGATATTAATACAAAAATGCCCTTTTAGGCAATGTGACAGTAGTAAAATGCACAAGCAATGGTGAGGATGTTGGCCTTCATGTAAACAGAAATTATGGAAAGAATGTATGAGTAATTCCCTCCAAAGCTCTGGTGGTTACACTGTCATGAAAGCAACTTAAAACGGTTAGAGTTAGACCCTGACAACCCTGAAGCTGGAGATTGTACTACGATGTCCTGGAACACTTTAAAATCACATTACAGATGATTCCTTCCGGTTATATCCTATTTCCAAACTTAACAAATTTTAGATGACAAGGCTGTTTATAGTCTAGCATCAGCTCCCTTACATCGTATCAAAGTTTTTAAAGTAAAACGCACTGAAGAAATGACAGCCTTTGGCTCCGGGTCATCTACAGAGTCAAGTTTGATATTTCATTAAGAAGGAATATTTTCTGAGGCTGAAAATAATTCAGCAAGAATTAGTCAAAAGAACCAATTATGCCAACAAACCATGTTGCAGGTAATCATGAATTATTTCAATGGCTATAAAGAACCCAAGCAACTCTTTGGATTAAAGTTATGATCACAAAACTAGAATTTTCTGAAAATTTGTGAGACTGAAGAACAAAGATGCATCTAATCTAAACATAATTTCTATATGGCTGAGGAATATACTGATTTTGTTTTTCTATACCATGTTAACTATTTTCATGACACTTCTCTAAGGAAAATATTAAATTCATTTTTCAACAACTATTTTGAATGCTAGAGTTTCTAGAAATCTGTTGGATAAGGAAAATAGCTATTGTTTACTTATTTAAGAATACATTGACTAGCCCTGCCTGGTGTGGCTCAATGGGCTGAGTGCCAGCCTGCGAACTGAAAGATTGCTGGCTTGATTCCTAGTCAGGGCACACATCTGGGTTGTGGGCCAGGTCCCGGATTGGGGTACGCAAGAAGCAGCCAATTGAAATTGTTTTTCTTGCATCTCAATGTTTCTATTTCTCTCTTTCCCACCCCTTCCCTCTCTCTAAAAATAAATAAAATCTTAAAAAAAAAAGTGTGGGGGGAGGAATAGTTTGCTGGGCTCCAAAAAGTATTTTTTAAAAATCCTCACCACAGGATATGTTTACTGATTTTAGAGAGAGAGGAAGGTGGGGGGAAGAGAAACATCAACAAAAGAGAGATAAATCAAGCAGCTGCCTCTTGTACATGCCCCATCTGGGAATCAAACCCGAACCCTAGATATATGCCCTGAATGGAGACTGAACCCATCATCTTTTGGTGTATAAGACAATACTCCAACCAACAGAGCCACCTGGCTAGGGTTCCAAAAAGGATTTTAAGTGGTTAAACAAAGAAAAACATCGATTTAAAGTAAGTATTACTAGCACTATATATTTTTTAGATTCAAATTTCATTTTTTATAGTTTTCTACTCATTTAATCCCACCCCTCTGCTATCAACAGCTGTGTTCTGGGCTCCCTCCAACTTCCTCCCCTGTTTTGAGCACCTGCATTACAAATCGAGGAGGCAGGCCGTGGGGGAATATAGTCTTCATGTCCTGGAGGGGAAGGCTGTAGTGCTGGCCCTCATGCTGCTCTTCATGCTTGGCCTATGAAATGAAAATGCAGACACATATAATGGGGCCATAGATAAAGTGACAAAGACTTTGAAAAGTGGAAAGGGCCCAATAGACCATATTGAAGAAACACTGATCTTTCAGAGCTGGCATGGATATCTTTCATTTATTATCTTAGACAAAAAAAAAAAAAAAAGGTAGTTTTTGTCTCCAAATCCAGTGTGTATATAAAGCTGGTGTTGGCCTAAATGATGAACCAGTTTCCTAGCAACATAAACCCTACACGTGGAGGTAGCAGTGACAATTCTTGCCATCTGGATTCTTCTGAGCTGTGTATAGAGATGCTCTAGTCATGTGACAAGATCATCTGCATGCTGCTGTTTCCATAGAAACTCTAGAGAAACTGGCAGATAGACTACATTCACAGGGAAAGCTGCAAGGCACTTTGATGACTTCATTCACTTATTCTATTTTAGTTTGTGCTTGTGAACGTAGGTGAACATTGGAGATATAAATAAAACACGCCCTAACACAATTGTGTTTTGGGGAAATGAGTTTTTCCCCCTCCTACATACACAGCAGCATATGTTAAGGTGGGGAGACCCAGAGAGTAGGAATATAGACCCCCCAAAAAAGCTATTGGTTTCCTTCATATTTAAGCACAGACCTTACAACTAACTTCACCTAATGAGAGGCAGCAATAGTGTTGGGGAAGGAGAAAATATATCAATGTCTAGCCTAATGGGATCTGAAGTAGAAAACACAACACTGGATAGTACTGGAATCCCAGCTGCTTCTGACAAACCTCACTTTAAATGCTGCTCTTCTCAACAAATCAAGTTAGTTACCTCTCCAAAACTAGGAAATCCACTTAGAAAGAAAGATAAAAAATAATCCCAGATTAGTTATTAGGAAAACTGGGTTCTGTAACTGCTCTGCTGTGATCTTGGGCAAGTTAAATTGCTTTCTTTAGGGTTCTCCATACCAGTCTATAAACTGTGGCTAACTACCATTTTATAAATAAAGTTTTATTGGAACACAGCTGTACCCATTTGTTTGTGACAGAACTAAGCAGTTGTGATGGTGACCATTATGGCTCAAAAGCTTAACATTTTACTACCTGGTCCATAAAGAAAAAGTTTGTGAACCCATCTTATGGTAAGATCAACAATACATTTAACAAGTATTTGCTAAATTTAACTTAAAAGTATTTACTATGTACCTGCTCTATGCCCAGCCAAGTCCTCGGCATGAGGTGAATTCAATAGTAGGGAGTAAATCAGAACAAATGTGGGCTGACCTGCCTGAGTGTTTTATGTTACTGCAGTATCACACAGGGATGGGAAGACATGGGTCCTAGAATGCTGTCTTGGGTGCATTGTTTGACTACAGGTAAATCTGGGTTTTAGTTTTCCTGATATGCAAAATGACAGCAGTGCACATTATAAGCCCTTAAAAAATCTATATACACATTAGCAACTCACCGGGTCATTTTCACTGGTGCGGGAAATAGCTCTGGGACTCTGAACTGAAACCTGGCTATCCAGGTGAGCAGCAAGGCTTTGGGGTGCCTGGGTCCCCATGTGCAAAACATGTCCAGGGTACAACTAGAAAAGAAACCATTTTAGTGTTTTGGAATTGTAAAACCATTTATGCCTGCTACAACACCGAGGTTTTAAGCAATGCCTGCAACAGGGGAAAATGCCACTAACACACACTTTAGTTTTATGTAAAATGCAGATCCTTGTTATTATTTACAATTCTCTAAGTCCAAGCACACTATTTATGCTCTGTTTTAGCATAACCAATGTGTTTCAGCTTGTGTTGCCATGTCAAGGCTCTGCCTCAAATAGAGACAAACAATTCCATTAGAGATTATTTAGGAGCATTAACTTAAAGCAGGAAACTTCTTGTAATGCTCTTGCCCACAGAGATGACTGGTGGCCAGCACTGTGCAACACTCAGCTGTCCAGCAATCATGGTTACTTCAGTTATTAGGGGATTAGGCAGTGTTCCTGTTTGACAGGTATAATTATACTCTCTGCAACAATTTTCTTGATAGCTGTGCTCTGGAGTAAAGAATTTTATGGATAAAAAAATAAGGGAGTATATAAAACATTCAGCTAAGTGAAAATATACTGCTCTATAGGCAATTCAGTGAACTGCACAAGGAAAGCTGTGAACTGGGAAGGGATGGGAGGTGGGGGGAAGAGGATGATATACAAGACAAATCTGACAAAATGCTAACTGGAGAATCCCCAAACTGAGTCTGAGGATAACAGGCTTATGTAGAGGTGAAAGATGCCAGTTACAAGGTCAAGATTAGGATAGGAAGCCAGCAGAAGCAGACATGGCAGTTGTCTGTAACAAGGGAATTTCCTGATAAATGAACAGGTAACATGAGAGCTGCCTGTATTTATATTTAGTCTCACCAAGCAGCTTCATGAGTGAAGAAAATGTGTATTATTTTTGTACCACCCTTCATAATACTATGTCTATGTCTAATTGGTATCTTTACCTCTAAATCTTTGACTTTTTGTTTTTCGTAGTCCAAAGGATCTGTCCTTCCAAATAAGTTTAACTTTCTTCTAATCAAAATGCTTGGATGGTTTTCTAGTGATGTCAAAATAAGTCCAAAGTCCTTAGCATGGTAATCAAGGCCATCACTTCAACTGACCTCTCTAGCTACATCCCTGTATGAACTCCATATTCCAGCCCTGTGACCATGCTAATATGTTACTAACTTTTATGCCTCCATACTTCTGCTCCTTTTACTTCAATTATCCTATTTAAATCTTACTCCTCCTTTAAGGATCATCTCAAATGTCACATCCTCTGTGAAGACTTTCCAGACACCTCCAGTCAAAGTACTTATTTTTTCTTCACTGCTGATAGCACTTTCTTTATCTTTTTTATTTATTGATTTTAGAGAGAGGTAGGGGAAGACAGAAGATAGAAGGGAGGAGGGAGAGGGGGGAGAGGGAGAGGGAGAGAGAGAGAGAGACAGGGACAGGGACAGAGACATTGATCTGCTGTTGCATTTATGTATTTATTGGTGATTCTTGTATGTCCCCTGACTGGGATTGAACTTGCAAACCTGGTGTATCAGGACAACGCTACAACCAATTGAACCACATGGCCAGAAACCAGCACTTTCTTTGTCTTACATGACATTTTTACTCTGCCTTGAACCGCACTCATGGCTTTTGTTAACTCAACACCTATTAGGTACTAGGAAATATGGAGGTAATTTAAATGTATTTTTTTAAACTTTTTTTTAAAGATTTTATTTTATTTATTTTTAGAGAGGTAAGGGAGGGAGAAAGAGGGAGAGAGAAACATCAATGTGGGGTTGCTGGGGGCCATGGCCTGCAACCTAAGCATGTGCCCTGACTGGGAATCCAACCTGCGATGCCTGGTCCGCAGCCCGTGCTCAATCCACTGAGCTACGCCAGCCAGGGCCTAAATTTATTTTTTAATTTTTTAAAAATACATTTTATTGATTATGCTATTATAGTTGTAGCATTTTTTTCTTTTACCCTTTATTCCTCTCTGCCTTGCACCCCGCCCACCAGCACTTCCACTCCCCCTTAGTTCATGTCCATGTAAGTTCTTTGGCTTCTACATTTCCTATATTCTTACACTTCCCCTATTTTGTACCTGCCAATTATACTTACTTGCTGTACCTTTTCCCGAATTCTCCCTCCTCCCCCTCTGCACTGATAACCCTCCATTTAATCTCCATTTTTGTGATTCTGTTCCTGTTCTAGAAGTTTGCTTAGTTTTTTTTAGGTTTGGTTGTTAATAGCTGTGATTTTGTTGTCATTTTAGTGTTCATGTTTTTTATCTTCTTTTTCTTAGATAAGTTCCTTTAACATTTCTTATAATTAAGGGCTGGGTGATGATGAACTCCTTTAACTTGACCTTATCTGGGAAACACTTGATCTGCCCTTCCATTCTAAATGAAAGCTTTGCTGGATAGAGCAATCTTGGATGTAGGTCCTTGCCTTTCATGACTTTGAATGCTTCTTTCCAAACCCTTTTTGCCTGCAAGGTTTCTTTTGAGAAATCAGCTGATAGTATTATGGGAACTCCTCTGTAAGTAACTGTCTCCTTTTCTCTTGCTGCTTTTAAGATTCTCTCCCTATTTTTAATCCTGGATAATGTAGTTATGATGTGCCTTGGAGTGTGCTTCCTTGGGTCCAACTTCTTTGGGACTCAGTTTCCTGAACTTCCTGGAAGTCTATTTCCTTTGCCGGATTGGGGAAGTTCTCCTTCATTCTTTTTTCAAATAAGTTTTCAAGTTCTTGCTCTTCCCTTTCTCCTTCTGGCACCCCTATGATTCAGACGTTGGAACATTTAAAGTTGTCCCAGATTCCTAAGCCTCACCTCATTGTTTTGAATTTTTGTTTCTTCATTCTGCTCTGGTTGAATGTTTACTTCTTCCTTCTCCTTCAAATCATTGACTTGAGTCCCGGTTTCCATCCCTTCACTGTTGGTTCCCTGTGTGTTTTCCTTTATTTCACTTTTTCCTCTATTTTGTGACCATACTCAAGCATTTCTGTGAGCATCCTGATTACCAGTATTTCAAACTCTGCATCTGATAAGTTGGCTACCTCTTTATCACTTAGTTCTATTTTTGGAGTCTTGATTTGTACTTTCATTTGGGCCATATTTCTTTGTCTTGTTGCAGCTGTTACACTGTTAGGGGTGGAGCCTTAGGTATTTGCCAGGGTGGGGCAATTCATATTGCTGGATTGTGGTGCTGTATGTGGGAAAGGGGTCTGAGAAGGAACAGTGGTCCTTGTTCAGGTCTTGGTTGGCTTTTAGTCACTTCCCCTACTTCCCACAAGCAAATTGGGCCCTTCTGGTGCTGATTTCTGGGTGGGTGGGTTTGTGTACATTCTAATACCCTGTGGGTCTCTCCAACAAACTCTCCTGTGAAGCTGAGAGTTTCTCCTGCTTCTGCAACCCCCAGAGGTTTTTTACAGCCAGAGGTTTTGAGGCTTTATTTCTCTGCACTGGAACCCTGGGTTGTGCGGTCTGTCTTTCTCCCCAGTTCTTCCCTCCTGGTTTATCCACATGTAAATGTGGGACTGCTGGGTCTGCCAGCCACCACCTTGCCCACCTGTTCCTCCAGGTGCTGCTTGCCACATGTCCTCTCCTCCCCAGCTGCCGATCTCCACACCCTCCCCAATCAGTCTTAATGAATGTTTCTTCTTTAGCTCCTTGGTCGTCAGACTTCCATGCAGTTCGATTTTCTGGGAGTTTTGGTTATTTTTTTGTTTTTAAATTTGTTGTCCTTCTTTTGATTTTGTGAGGAGACAGAGTGTATCTATCTATGCCTCCATCTTGGCCAGCAGTCTCCTATTTATTTTTATAGAGAGAAGGAAAGGGAGAAAGACAGGGAGAAAGAGAGACAGGGAGGGAGAGAAATACCGATGTGGGAGAGAAACATTAACCAGTTGCCTCTCTCATGCCCCCAACCAAGGACCTAGCCTTTACCCAGGCATGTGCTCTTACTGGGAATTGAACCTGAGACCTTTTGGTTCGCAGTCCAGTGCTCGGTACACTGAGCCACACAGCCAAGGCTGCAATATAGAGTTTTAAACACATTTTTGAGCCCAGAATCTTAGGAGATAGGTAGAATATTCTCATGCCTGTTTTATGATGAGGGAAACCAAGGTTCAGGGAAATTAAGTAATTTTGCCTAAGGTCACAGAGTTGGTATGTGGTAAAGCAAGAATTAAAGTCCAAGTTTGTCTGAGTCCAAAATCTCCATTATTTTTATTATATTATGCTATCTTACACATGTTTATCTCCCATTCTCAGCCACACATTTGGAAGAGAACACATCAGATTTTATTAGTTTTTGTATTTCTTTCTCTAAGTACCTAACACCACAAATATTTCATACTTGTGCCCTGGAATAAAGAATCTTTCATTAGAGACATATAATGGGGAGTATGTAAAGCATCTATTTAAGTGAAAGTAAGTTGCACTAATTCAACGCAATGATCTGCACACAGAAACCTCTGAACCAGAACGTGTAGATTTAATGTAGAGTTGCTCCAACTTTGTCTGAGAATGGCAGACACCAATATTTATCAAATATCTAAATTTTCTACATTTCCAAGGCTCCCTTGCAAATAGGCTGGGGTTATTTGATTAGTTCTAGTTAATGAGCTGTAAGTAGGTATAACTTGTGTCTTTTCTAGTCAGAGCCGGCTAAGAGTAGATATAAATTCTCTCGTTTCTTCCCCTGCTGTGGCAACATACATGCTGAGATGGCATCCCAAGATGAACCTTTATTTCTATGTCGACCCCCTCCCACATTTGTTTGTAAACCACTTTGGAAACACATCAACAGCAAAAACAAAACAAAGCAAAGCATATGCAAGCATCATAAGTAATGTTCTTTGTTGTGTTAAGTCAATGAGAATTCAGGACCTGCTACCACAGTACAGCAATCTGAATAGTATACTCTACTATTGGTAGGACTCAGTTTTATCTATTCTATGGGAGAGAAAGCACCACGTCCCTAAAAAGCAAAAAAGCAGTCAAGTGGAAAATTAAAGATATTCAAGGGCCACTAGGTGGTGCTATTTTTACAAGCCTAGACTTGACTGCTCTTTGAAGCAAATTAAGAGCTAGCAAAATGGATTCCTTACTTCTGACAGCATTATATATGGCATCACCCAGCTAGTCTCGTTTCCAGGGAAAACAACCATAACTACAATAGCCTCTGCATAGTTCCAAAATGAACATCATGCAGTTAAGAACAGCATTCATGAGCAAACCAAGACAGTTACTCTAAACCAATCTCCAAGAAGCACAACATTCTTCAGACATCTCTGTATTCAAGTCTTTCTTGTCTGCTATTTAAGGAAGAAAAAGCTTTAGCCTCTTAATATTTAATATAACCAATTGAGACCAAAATCCATCCCTCTGTTGATCCTTCCTTTTGTTTTCATTTTATAATAATGGGTTATTTTATGTGCAGAGGTTTATCATGCACCCCTGGAAAAAAAGGTGAATTCTACAGGAGGAAGAGTTGCCTCCCTAGGAAATCTAATCTGCAACTAAACAATGAAATGGAAGTGACTAAGCCCTTCTGGCTTAGTTCTCTCCTTTCAGGTCTCAGCTCTGGGAAGATTTCCTCTGAATCCTACCAATCTAGGTTAGGTGCTCCTATGGGGTGCAGTAACGGCACCATACTATAACAGACATTTATTTATCTACTACTGTACTTTGAGATCCTAGAGAACATGGACCATAAGATGCGACACAGCACAGTGGTTAAGGCCATTGGCTTTGAAGTCAGACAGACCTGGTTTCTAGCTTGGGCTCTGCAATTTCACAGCCTGTTACCTTAGACAAGTTACTTAGCCTTTCTAAGCCTCAATTTCTGCATCTGTGAAACAAAGATATTATCTACTTTGTGAGTTGGTTATGAGGATTTAACAAGTAAAGCACTTAGCCTAGTGTCTACCACATAATGAATGGCCAAAAAATAGTATCCATTAGTGGAATGAGGTATCTTAAAATCCTCAGCACTTGCCATATGGCAATTGCTAAATAAATGAAAGAATGGAAGCAACAGAGTATTTTTTTTAAAGATTGTATTTATTTTTTTTGGAGAGGGAAAGGAAGGGAAAAAGAGAGAGGGAGAAACATCAATGTGCCAGTGAAATGTCGATCAGTTGCCTCTTGCACTCCCCCAACCAGGGACCTGACCAGCCACCCAGGTATGTGCCCTGACTGGGAATCAAACTGCCAGCTCTCGGTTTGTAAGACGACTCCCAACCCACTGAGTCACAGCAGTCAGGGCGACAACAGAATGTTTTTTAATACATGATTTCATAATTTTATTCAACTATCAGATGCTTAAGGTCTAAATTGGCAACATTTTTCTTTTAAGTGTTTCATTAAGAAATAATTAATTGGCCCCAGTCACTGAGCCGCCGCTGAAGACTTTCAACAACCTCTCCCGTCAGTCCCATTTGCTTCCTGACACTCTGCCCCCCTTGCCCGCCTCTTCCCACCACAGCCTGTTTCCACTGAAAAAAAGTCATTGTACAGAATGTCTGCTATCTAGAACCTCCACTTTCTTGACCCCTTGCTGATGCATGTAAGAGCGATGATCTGCTTCCTGCTGGCACTAAGGATTATATCCATATAAGAATTCAAAAGAGAAATGGCAGGAAAACCCTTACTACTGTCCAAGAGATTGATGTGATTGTAATAAAAAGAAACTAGTGAAGGCGTTTAAGAAGAAATTTGCCTGCAATGGTACTATAAATGAACATCCAGAATATGAAGAAGTAATTCAGCTACAGAATGACCAGAGCAAGAACATATGCCAGTTCTTCAGAGAGACTGGACTTGCTAAGGACAACCAGCTGAAGGTTCATGGGTTTTAAGTGCTTCTGGCTCACTAAAGCTTAAGTGAGGATTCCCTTGCAATGAGTAGATCTTCCCTTCTGTCCCACTCACGAATTTAAAAACCTCACAGCTTGTATAATATAACCATTTGGGGCCTGCTTTTAACTTGAACTAGTGTAACTCCTTCATGCAATAAAGTGAAAACAGCCATGCTGTCTAGTCTTGAAGTCCCTCACTTAGACAGAGGTCAACCAGTAGGCACCTGGCAGTGTCCAGCCTCAGACAAAGCAATAATGTGATGCTCCAGCCACGTCCAGAATCCCAAGATCACAGACAGCTATGTACGACCAGAAGCTCTTCGCCAGAGTTCCCTGCCCTCAGAGAGTGTCAATCTTGGGTGAAGCTGAGAGGAGGGGTAAGGCAGCAGAGATCTCCAACTTGAGCAGGTGGATGGAGCTTAGAGCAGCCATGTTCCCTCTAAGTGAGGTGATAAGAATATCTGGCTTGCCACCAAGTTCTTTTTGACCAGACACAGCCTCGTTAACTGATGTCCAAACATCAGAATTTGAGGCCAACCTTCTATCAGAGTTAAACTTTTGACAAGGAAACAAATTTCAAACTGATGCCAGTCATGTAGCTAGCTGTAGAGCTTGTAACTTACTAGCAATGGCTGACAATGCCACATAAAGGAACAAACCAATTTTGGGGTCTCCCCCACCCTACAGTTTTAATGTTATATAATGTATTTAAATCATTATTTAAATAAAACTTATTTTCAGGAAAAAAAAAGAAACAATAATCCAACTAGATAATATTAACAAAAGTTAATAAAAGATAACTGCAATAAAGCTTAAAAAATGTTAATTCTCCTATGACATGGTAAATTCAAGCACAACTATTCTACTGAGATCTGTTCCTTGGAGATTTTTAGGGCAGATGGGAGTGAAGTGAATGGACAGAGAAATGGAAGTGTGACTGTTCTTTTGAGTGTGAACTTGTAAATTAAAGTCAGCTGTAGTTCTTCAGAGCATTTCATTCTGGATATAACAAATCCATCTAAACAGAAGAAATCCACCTAAAAACAGTTTGTATGAAGCATTTAGGTCAGTTAGGACTCACCTTATGGACCTTAGAGATAAATCTTCTCATTCCTTTCAGCATTATTCCTGTACTTTGAAAAGGCCAGCCAGAACTGGGAAAAGATATTTGTACAATGGATTAGTATCCAGAATAAATAAAGAATGCCTACAAACTGACAAAAAGATGAGAAGACACAAAAAAGTTTATACAAATGGCTAGTAAACCCATGAGAAGATTTTCATTCTCATTACAAATTAGGGAAATATAAATGAAAACCACCACAGCGAGACATTCACAACCACCACATTGGGAATAAATGAAAAGGTCAAATAACAGTGAATGTGGGAGGCTGTGAAGCCCTGGGAACTTGCATACACTGTCAGTGAGAGTGTAAGCACAAATACCTAAGAAAACAAATTTGGCAGTATCATGTAAAGTTGAAAACGTACATGTCTAAGACCCAGATATTCTACTCCTTGGTATTTACTCCACAAAAACACTTATACATATACATTGGGAAATATATATATAACAATGTTCATAGTAGTATATTATGAAGAATTATCAAAAACTGTAAAAAGTCCAATTGTCCATTGAAAGATGAGTAGATAAACAGAGATATGGTCATACAATGGAATACCATACAGAGATAAAAAGAATAAATTGCAGTTACCTGCATGACATGTATGAGTCTCAAAAACACTGAGTGAAAACTATGATATAACCTATATAAAATTCAAAACATATGAAGCTTAATTCATTACTTGGGGAATATACATATGTTTAGTAAAAGTGAAGGAAAAAGGCAAGAAATAAGCACATCATTTAGAATAATGCTTACTCTCAGGGAGAAGGTAAAGGGATAAGACTGGAGCGGGGCAGACAAATAGGTGACAATTTACTTCTCCTGCTGGACATTGGATACATGAGTATTTGTTTTATTATTTTTATATGATGTGTGTTATATTTATTCATTTGTACCTTGAAAAATATTTAATTAAAAAAAAGCCCTAAATCTCTGGGAAGCTAAAAGATGTTTAAAATACTTAAATGTAGATATCAACCTTCAGTACTGATAATGTAATGAAATCAAATCTCCAAGTAATTAATTACTTCATTTTAGCTAACAATCTTCTCATTTCTTACAACCAAAATCTTTAAAGAAGCAGCAGCAGTAGCAGCAGCAACAAGAGTTGCACCCATTTATTCAACAGTTACTGAGCACCTACCATTTGCCAGGCCCTGTGAGTAAGATGACGAAGAAAACTGTTTTAGCCTCGCCTTGACGGGTGTGGCTGTGTTGTGCATTGTCCCACAAAGTGAAAAGTTGTTGGTTCGATTTCTGGTCAGGACACATGCCTGGATTGTGGGTTTGGTCACTGGTCAGGGTGGGTGCAAGATGCAACCAATCAATATTTCTCTCTCACACTGATGCTTCTCTTCCTCTTTCTCCCTCCCTTCCCCTCTCTCTAAACATAAAGAAAATCTTTAAAAAACTGTTATAGTCTCTAACCCAATAAAGCTTCACTGACACAAACTCCTTTGGATTTCATCTCTATTCACTTATAGTTTATTTTTAATGCTCATCTGAGGATATGTTTATTGATCTTAAAGAGAGAAGGAGAGAAAGAGAAACATTGTTGTGAGACAGAACACAGATCCTTACCTCTCAAATGCACCCCAACTCGGGATAAAACCAGCAACCTTTGGTGTAGGGGATGTTCTAACAGAAGCCACCCAGCCAGCCAGGGCTCTTTTTCAGTTTTTAAGTTTAATTTTTAATAAAGTTGTGAATGCATTCCTTAATTCAGTCATTCAAGAAATGTGTGATATGCTTCCATATGCCCATACAGAGTACAGAGTGGTGACCCAGACTGGTGTGGTCTCTACTGGACTGCTTCTCTTTTAGCTCTGGGGTTCCAGGACTCATTTGCTGTGTTTGAAAACCAGAGGTTTAGACCAGCAGTTCCCAAGATGAGTTAGGTGACCACTACTAATATACCAGGGCTCTGGCCAGAGAAATCTATATAGCTATGAATAGCTATATAGCATTTCTCTGGCCTGAGGAATGCTATATAGCTATTCATTTCTTGAATAATTGTAATATATATTAGCATACTTAAAGACTTCAGGAAAACTATAGTAAGAGACTTCATTTTAACCCAAATTTACTTGGCCTTGCAATCCTTGGAATGTCTTTATTGCAAAACACTATTAATATCATTCTCCTGGACGCTAGTAGAGGAACTGCTACTGTGGAGTAAGGGGGTGGCTGTGAGCATGTTCCCAGGCCTGAGGATGACACTCGACTATTCCCCGGGCACAGGAGAGGTGCCCTCTGTTCTTGCATTTTTATCTGTTCTTCTTAGCTTGCCTTACACTTCCTTCCTGCCTTCCAAAACCACTCAAAGCCCATCACCACTACCTGTTCCTTAATACAGCTGTGTAGAAAAGAGTTAAAAGAGTGGGCCTGAGATTGCTTGCTCTCCTTAGAAAGGCTGCTTCCAAGGCTGCCCCTTGGGTAGTATCTGGGCACTTGGATTTCAGGAGAGTTCCCACCGTCCCTAGTGCTGGTAAGAGTGGGTCACTGTGCCTATATTATTTATACAAACATGGTTTATGGTGTACATCTGCTTTCCTCCTGACAGCCTGAAATTTTAGTACATGCTAGGCAGATAATGACATGACCAACCCCAATAAAAATTCTGGGCATTGAAATTCCCAGGAATTTCCCTGGTTGGCAACATGTCACAAGATTCTACTGGGAAAGGACTCCTGGAAACTTGCACCTGGTTTCCTCCAGATGTTGCCTTTTGCTAACTGTGCTATGTATCCCTTCACTGTAGTAAATCATAGCCATGAGTATATTGATTTCTGAGCCCTCCTAGGAAATCATAGAACCTGGGAGTGGTTTGGCAACCACCGACACAATTGGCTAGTGCCCAATATCACCCAGCATCCACCTTTACCTGGCACCCAGTCTACCTGATACCCACCAACACTTGGCACCCAATGCTACCCAAAGCCCATTTCTGACCAGCTCAATTATCTTAACCCAAATTTTTCTCAATCTTCCCCTACTTTAACTAACTCAAGTCTTGCCTCTAACACTATCTTCTCCATCTGTGACTGGCTAACCTCCATGCCAATTCTAATCCTCCATTATCAGTTGATTTGCTACCCTAAGATCTTTAATCAACCTCAGTTTTCCCTACTGCAAAGCCATTCATGACTCCAATGTCACTCTAATAGTACCTGGCCCACCCAACCATGCCATGACTTATACACTCTACTACAACCACTAATATGAGACAGTTACGGGCTGCAGCTCTGGAGGGGAGCTGGGTCCTGAAGAGTAGATAACATGGTCCAAGGATCAACTGCTTGAGGATACAAATGACTGTGGCCTTAAAAGTATGTTTGAGAAACCTTCAGATCTCCATACGTTCTAGATTAAAGTTAAGGCGGAATGTCCTGAGATTGCCACAAAAGCACTGAAAAGCCTGCTTCTATTTCCAACATCTCTCTGTGAAGCAGGGTTTTCTGCAGTGACAGCAGCCCAAATAGGATTACAGAGTAGACCAAACTCTGCAATACACTTTGGGTGTCACTGTCTCCCATCATCCCCAGATGGGACCCCCATCTACTTGCAGGAAAACAAGCTCAGGGCCCCAGCTGGTTCTGTATTACAGTGAGTTGTTTAATTACTTCATTATATATTACAATGTGATAATAACAGAAATACAATACACAATAAATGTAATGTGTTTGAATCATCCCCAAACCATCTTCCCCCTACCCCGGGTCTGTAGAAAACTGTCTTCCATGAAACTGGTTGCAAAAAGGTTAGGGACCACTGCTTTAAAATACCTGTAAGCAGAGAAAGTCCTATTGACAGACTAAATGAAAGCAGAAGGGAGGACTTATTTGCTCATTCTACTTTCCGGGCCATATGCAAGTCAGTGCATCAAGATAAAGGCTCAAAGCCACTAAGACCATGTAAAATTTGAGTACTGATTTTTCCTTTCAGTTTTTTTCATGTCATCTGAACAATTATTTGCAAAGCTCAAGTTGAATATACTGCTTGTTAATGGAAGATAGGTAAGGGACAGGTTTCCTATTAGAAGAGAATGAGCCCTGGTTGGTGTGACTCAATGGATTGAGTGCCGGCCTGCGAACCAAAGGGTCACAGGTTCAATTCCCAGTCAGTGCACATGCCTAAGTTGTGGGCCGGATCCCCAGTAGGGGGCCATGTAAAAGGCAACCAAACATTGATGTTTCTCTCCCTCTCTTTCTCTCTACCTTCTCCTCTCTCTAAAAATAAGTAAAATTTTTTTTAAAAAAGAAGTGAATGACAATACAAGATGAAAAGTTATGGAAATGGATGGTGGTGTGGTGATGGCTATACAATAATGTGAATGTACTTAGTATCACAGAACTGCACACTAAAAATGTATAAGATGGTACATTTTAAGTTATGTGTATTTTATCACAATAAAAAAAAACCAAGAAAGTGACCGATGGTAAAAATTAAAGATGAATGATAATTACCTCAAGCCTTTTAGAAAGCAAAAATGAAGAAAAAATTCTTAAACACATCATTAAAATCTTTCTGATATTGTTCAACTGCCATCATTCTGAGATTACACATTGTCTACTTCTATTATTCCAACACAGAAGTGTCCTCCCTCTGATCCCGGTAATTTTTTGCTTAAAACTTGGATAAAACAACTCCCAGAGACAAACTATTTCCTTAGTCGTTAGCCTTTCTAGGTACACTTGAAGGGGCATGTCCTCACCACTGTATTTATTTATTTAAAAAAAGATTTTATTTATTTATTTTAGACAGAGGGAAAGGAAGGGAGAAAGAGGGAGAGAAACATCCATTGGTTTCCTTCACACACCTTCAAATGGGGACCTGGTCAGCAACCTAGGCATGTGCCCTGACCGGGAATTGAACTAGTGACTATTCAGTTCGCAGTGCGGTGCTCAACCACGGAGCCACATCAGCCAAGGCTGTATTTAAAATTCTGTTATTATTCTGATGAAACTTTTTGACTAGTGTTACAGCCATTTTTTTAAGAAAAAAAAATTAGGTTACATTTTATTTAG